GTTCGATTAGATTCGCGAAAATCCGGATTTTTTAGAATTTTCTGCTTATCAAAAAAATTGCTTGGAATACACATGCATCAGCGGTCACGATAGGAAAATTAGGCGTTCGACAATTTTCCCGGCTCTTCTCTCTCTCTCTCTCTCTCTCTCTCTCTCTCTCTCTTGTGCCTGACAATTTTCTAAAAATTGATTTGTTAATCCAGGAAAATCCAGACTTATCGAAATTTTCTGATGATGAACACGTCTTAACGTTTCGAGCCGTAATCGATTACAATAGAAAAATCAGGCGTCCGACCAAACTGTTTTCCCAAAAACTCTCCGCTCGGCTTCCCGTTTCTCTATTTTTCTTTGTTTTTTTTTCTGACCCCCCTCGTGGGATGTTATCTCGGTCATTTTGGAAGCGATTTCTGCATGCTGGCGCTTCCATTTCTCACCTATCTGCTCGCCCCTTTTTCTTTCTCTGCCTTTTTCGAGGGAATCTCGTGGCCATAGATAAGCCCTTCCCTCTCTCTCGCTCCCCCTGCTGGTCAGCTCACGTGCCACCCGCCTTTTTTTGTTGTTCCAAACCGATTAAACCCGAAATTTAGCTCATTTTATTCGCTGACAGCTATATAAACTCTTCACAAAATTTTCTATCCGCATTATTGCATTCCCAGAAATTTACGGAATCGGTTACGCCAGCAAATAGCTTTGTATGCATTTTGCAGACGCTTATTTCAGATCTTTCGACATTTTCGGTAATCGATTACGATAGCTAAAACGCACGGGAAAAGCTCATTTGTGATCTGACTGGCATAGAAGGGCTTGATACAATTTTGAGCCCATTTTCATGCTTTAAATAATAAGGCCGGATTCAATTTCGCTACTAAACTAACTAACTGCCGGCGATACTTACACAATTTCCGCTGCATTTTCAATATACAGAGTCTAACCGATTACTCTAGCAAATACAAACCTCGTGAATTTTGCTTTCTGGCAGCCATAAAACCACATCGTATCCTTTTATTTGTCATTTTTGCGTTTTTCAACGATTTATATAGTCGATTCCGCGTCGAAATAGCTTTCTTCAACCGAGACGCTGACCAAAAAAACGATGTTCGGCTCATAATAGTTTTAGTAGCGTAATCGATTACGTTATGAAAAAGAGTCCGTCCAAAAAACATTTCCTGAACGGTCTCTGCTGCGTGACCGTATTCCTGGTTGACGAAAACACTCAGGCTTCAGGCAATCTACGTTCCGCTTCAGCGTCGACAGCCATTGTTTTGGACCTTTTTCCTTTGGTCTCCCATCTGGAACGCATTTCCCCCAGGATTTCCAGCCATTTGGGGCTTTTCTCTTCCATTGGATGGCCGTTATTTTTTGTTTTTTGCTTGTCTGGGCAATCTAGCAGCGGTTCTTGTGGAAAGTCGGGTTTTTCTCTTTTCAATTCTATCTAGTTTCTTCTATGGTAACTGGTTCTCTTCGCGTTTTTTCTCTCTCTCTCTTTTTTTCTTTTTTCTCTCTTCTCTCTCTCTCTCTCTCTCTCTCTCTCTCTCTCTCTCTCTCTCTCTCTCTATCGTGCCGTTCCTCGATATTTTGTCTGCCAGTGTCACGATGCGTCGATTCATTTCCGGATCTATCTGCCGAAAAACTAGCAGAGAATCTTCAAGAATTCCTACGTTTTTTACAGTTTTTATTATCCTGGCTGCCAGTCAACATTTTTCTTAACTCAGTCTCACTTTTCAAGGCAAGCTAGCAGCGATCCTTTAGGAACCTTAGGATCACTTTCAAGCGCTTGACGTCTTTCCTTTTTCTTTTTCTGCTTCCCATCTCACTTTCCCCTCTCCCGAGCAACAGCTGCCCGTTTTCTTGCTCCAAAAAATGGCGAAATGTGGCTCCTCCCTCTCCGCGGTCCATTTCTCAAAAGTTCTCTGCTAGCCTGCCCCCTCCCTCTCTTTTCTCATCCACCCGGAACCCCCATTTGCCATGATGCCCCACTCAACCTTCCAGACCATTCCTTGGCTTTAAAAGCAAATACAACAAACTACGGTCATTTCGAAAAAGCGTGTTCCGCAAAGGAACTCTGCTAGTTTGCCCTCGAAAAAGCTAAAAACCTTTGCTAGTAGGCTTAGTATTGCTTAAGAATCGCTGCTAGTTTGCTATTTTGGTTGTTGTTGGCCAATAAACCGCAAGGACCTCTGCTAGCCTACCCCTCCAAGAATTCCTCCAAGAACCACTGCTAGCCTGCCTTAAATTTCCTAATGGAAGATTGCTAGTTAGCTTCCTTTTGCCCTAATTGTCTTTGCTAGCCTGCCCGTAACCATTCCATAAAAATCTATAAACCAATTCCGAAAGAGTCACTGCTAGCTTGCCCTTGTCAATTCTCAAGGGCTCTCTGCTAGCTTCCTTTCATCCTCCCAAAAGACCGCTGCTATCTTGCTTCTTTCCATTCAAAATCGTCTCTGCTAGATTGCGCCTACAAATTTCCAAAGAATCCCTGCTAGCCTGCCCGTTTCCGGCCAACAAGCTAAGAATCTCTGCTAGTTACCCAATTAATTCCTCAAGAATAACTGCCAGCCTGCCCTGTGCTTTGATGAATTTCTCCTGCAGATCAGAGGTTACGGTATCCCTCCAATCACCACGAGATCAGTGCACATTCCGATAGCTCTGCAGAAGCTTTTCTTTGCAATCCCTCCTTTCCACCCACGAGATCAGCCTCCACATCTAATCGACGTCAATTCCCAGTGCAATGTAGTCGCCATCTATCACAATTTGCACCCCGGAAAGAGCGCAGATCTGTTTATTTTAGCTTTGATCTTTTTGGGAATTTGTCTCTGCGTCGTTCTCTCTCTCGCTCTCTCTCTCTCTCTCTCTCTCTCTCCCTCACGTTCACACTCTCGCTCCCTCTCTCTCGCTCTCTGTCTCTCTTTCACTCTCGCTCTCTCTCTCTCTCTCTTACTCTCACTCACACTTCGGCTCTCTCTCTCTCGCTCTCTGTCTCTCTCACTCTCACTCTCTCTCACTATCTCTCTCACTCACACTTCGCTCTCTCCCTCTCACACGTTCGTACTCTCTCTCGCTCACTCACTCTCTCTCTCTCGCTCTCTCTCTCTCTCTCTCTCTCTGTCTCTCCCTCTCTCTCTCTATCTCTCTCTCTCTCTCTCTATCGCTGTCTCTCTCCCTCTATTTACCCACCCCCCTCCCCTTCCTCAGAAAGTTTGAAGAGTTTTTGACCCCGCGCTGGCCTCCCCCTCAATTCCAAGAGCTTCTCCTCCGCTTTTTTGGTCTCTCTTTCTCTGCGCTCTTCTCCTTCCCCTACTCTCTCCCCCACTATCCCCACCGTATCGTCTAGTCTTCTCTTCTAGTCTTCCCCTCGATTCGTCGTGTTCAGATCGGTTTTTTCAATTTTTGCTCTGAGGCGGATCGAATTCCGAACGGTTCTTTGAATTTTTGCAGTAGGCACTTCTAAAATCCGGCTAGTCTGGGGCTATTTTTGCCTTCAATGGCCCTTGAAAATCGATATTTCGAGTTCATTGATCGATTACTTGGAGCTCTTCGTTTTTAAAGGGAGCGGCAAGGCAGGGCTATGGATTTTGCTGGCTATGGATTCTCTATGGATTCTGCGGCGCCGCAACACGCAACGCGTCACATCGCTTGCCGGAGTTTAACGGGTCCGATACGATTACGCAGTGGAAAAGCGGCGTGCGCGTTGCGTGGAAAAATTGATACCGCGGCGCGGAAAAAATAATCACTCTTGTACGGCCCCTTAAAGCAATTTTTACGAACAATGTTAGTGATTTTTCAATTTTTACCATGAAAATTGAGCTGTCACGCTCCTCTTAAAAGCGATTTCTGGGCTTTAGGGATCAATTCTGGAAAATCTCTTTGTAAAGGAATCGAGTGGGCAAAATTCCGCGAGAATACTCGGGTGTTACCCGCCCTTTAAAATACTTATTACGATTTTTGAAAGTTTTTCGCCCGTTTTCAGGCCAACCAAAAAATGGCGTGCGCGTTGCGTGTCTCGGCGCGGCAACGCCAAGAAGAATCCTAGACTTGCGCGTCCATTTAAAATGCTGTATTCTGGCTCCTCTTTTCCTCCCGTTCTCTAGTTTCCGCTAGTTTTTGCAAGTTCTGCAAGCTGTGCGTAGAGAGTATCGTCTCGGATTCCGGAATTTTCTCTAGGCGTCTTGAAATCGGATCCGACATTCGCTGGGCGGATGACATTTTGTTATTTCATTTCCGGGGGAATCCCCTGGCGAGAAGGAGAGAGAGAGAGAGAGAGAAAGAAAGACAGAGAGAGAGAGAGAGAGAGAGTGAGAGAGAGCAATTCGAGCCATAAGTCAACACACTAATGGAAGTTCCCAGGTTTTTTGGAAGGGCAAGAGAAGTGACCACACCCCCGCCACTTCTGCTTGCACGGAACCCGATCCGCTACATTCCATTCCTAATGACGTCCAGTGGATTGCACCGTAGCCCCAATATCCGATTCCTGCAATTCCTAGGGGCTTCCCCCGCCTTTTCAATGGCCATTGAAGTCTGGAAAGTGCGTCAGTGACCTTTGAAAGCTAGCGGTTTAAAAGCAGGCAAAAACGCGGTCCACAGAATTCCACGAAATGGAATTTTTTTTGCTTTACTAGTGCATTGAAGCACCATTTTTTTGTGACGCGTTTTTCACGACATACGTGGCGGTGCGTAGCGTAGCCGATGATTCTCCGGAAAATGACCTTTTAAAGGCCCGGGCAAGCGAGGCCTATCGTCGTGGATTTGGACTTCAACGACCCTTTAAGAGCCCTGATAGCATTTCCATGCCGGTTTCTGCCAGCTTGCCCTTTGAATAATTTTCCTAAAAACTGATAGATTGCGATGAACCAGGCGTAATCCATTCGAATTCTAGTTTTTCAAGGCGGGGTTGATCCTTGATGTTTTCGTGTTTTTTGGATTTTTGATTGATTGAGATTTATTTATTTGAAGTAAATGAATTTTTGGAAGATTTTGTTTTTTAAGCTTAGTTTTTCAGAAGGATGGGCACGGACCTGTACGCCGACGAGCCATGCTGCCCTGATACTCCGACATCATCCACTGCCGTCCAATCAATCGATACATTCTGTGGAGCATCAGCTTCTATCGTTCATTCAACGTCTTCAGTGGATGATGATGATCAATATTCCTCTTCTTCCCCTACCCCCTCATCTACAGTATCCTCATCCCCCTCTTCCTCTCCTTCACAATCCCCCGTCCAACGTCCTTTCAAAATCATCGTCCAGAAGCAGACTTTTTATATTGGTAGGCTCTATTTTTAAACACTGCTGAGTTTTAACTACTCTTTATTCAAATGTAATGTTTTAATTAAGGAAAAGTCGTTTTTATGGATTTTTTTACAATTTTTAGCTTCTAGAAAATTTTAAAATTATTAAGATTTAAAAATACCTATCGTAACCGCTTTGTGTTGACTTGAAGGTCCCCTTAAAAGCACTTAAAAGCATTTTTGCCGTCCAGTAAAACGATTACGCTATGAAAAAAAAACTGCGGCAAAATGTAACTTTTTAGGATGTCTTTAAATTAAAAATGTTGAATTTTGAAGAATTTAGTTTTCACTGGTGTATTCAACATAAAAATCATAGAGTTTTTGACTTCAGAGTCCCTTTAAAAACAAAATGTCGTCATTTTCAGACGCCGAAAACCTCAGCCAACTATCGCCCATCTTCTCAATTATGTGCTTTGGGAAGGATTTCGACAAAATGGAAGAGCCAGGGCGAGAGATTGTGGATGAAAAGAGCTCAGATGTAAAAACATTCCTGGATGCTGTTGAAGATCACTCACTCATTAAGGGTAAATTAAAGCCAAAAACTATTTAAAAAACCAAAAAGCAAAAAGTTTGACCTCACCGGGGATCGAACCCGGGTCATTCGCCTGGCAACCACGCTCCTTATCCACTGCGCCATTTTCAGTGCGCAACGTTCCTGTACTCCTCCGTCTCGCCAACAAATACCAAATGCCGTCAATTGTTGATGCTTGCGAGCAATTTATGAGGCGACTCAACCTTGAGTAAGTTGGTGCCAAATTTTTTGATTTTGATGCCGTAATTGGTGCTCTCTTTTTTACGATATCGTGCCGTAATCAATTCCTCCCTTTAGTGCACTGACGGCCACCGAGGTGCTTCAACTCCTGCTGGCAGCAGATGAATGGCATTCAGCAAAAGATGTGGTCGTCCGGTTGATCCGTCGCTTGGCCAACGAAGAAAAAACCACTTTTAACAAGTTGAAGCTGTCGCGGCGACTTCCTGCGCAGGTAGTCTTTTTTTTTTTTTTTTTTTAATTTTTTTTTTTTTTTTTTTTTTTTTTTTTTTTTTTTTTTTTTTTTTATTTTTTTTTTTATTTTTTTCTGCTTTCAATGACCCTTTAAACACATGAATTTCCAGATGTATGGCTGTGTAATCGGGACGAATCTGAACCTCTGCCAACTCAAAGAAGCCGAGCAGATGAATGGTCATTGGTTGCATTGTGTCGGGTGAGTTTTAGAAGTTGCGATTCCGCAAAGAGTTTCTGCTGGCTCGCCAGGTGTGATTATGGTCGCGTAGTAATCCCAAATTACTAAATGATCTCTGCTAGCCTGCCCTCATCAACCAAATTTAACGGTCGTTTTTCAGGTCTCGCGCTCGCTGGTACCGTGCCCCGTGTGATTACTGTAAGCTGATCACCGAGTGCTCCAATTGTACGCAGTGCAGAAAGGTGGGTAAAAACTGGTAAAACGCTGCAAATTAAATTCCAATTTTATCTAAAAAATTCAATTAAATTCAATTCTATCTACAAAATTAATTCGATTTTTAGTTTTATCTTGATGTTTTTGGAGTTGAAGATTCACAATTTGAAATTTGGGGTGTATTCGGTTGTAGAGAAATTTTAAATTTATCTTGAATACCCGAAAATCTATTTTTTTCCAGACGATGTGCCGCGACCACCTAAAAGAAAATAAATGCCGTGACAGCTACGGGACGCGAATGCTTGCCGAATTGAGGGAAAATATCGTCGAGTTGGACTGGGAATAGACCCAGAATTTTATGTCGTAATCGATTACCCTGCAGGGCGCTACCCCTATTTACATGGCGTAATCGATTGATTTGCCTTCACCAGCTCTTTAAAATATTTTTCTGGCACCCAGAGAATCGATTACGATATGAAAACCATGCATAAGCTCTCAGATCTCAAAAAATTTCCTAGTGTAATCGAATACTTTTGACTTCATAATCCCTTTAAATGAGGTTCTGACGTCGAATTAAACGATTACGCCATGAAATCGATTGCCGGATTTACTGGCTTCAACAAAATACATGGCGTAATCACTTGAATTTGACTTCACAACTCCTTTAAAAAGGTTTCTGGCGCTCAGGGAATCGATTACGCTATTTCGACGAAATAACCTTGCGTAACTGATTCGATTGTCCCACTCCCTTTAGCTAAAATTTTTTGTACCGCTTATGCCATTTAATTCTGCCGTAGTTTTACGTGTACTTAGTACTCCTCCGGAAACACTTTGCCCTAGCATCAGTATTTTTCTTACTTGAATGACAGGTTCGAATATTTCTAAAAAGTCCATAAAATTCTTTAGAGCATTATTTTTGCCTGAAAATTGTAGTTTTTATCTTTACAACTCGCCATTATCGATCTGGAATCTCCCTGAATTTTTTTGACAAAAAATGCTCTTTTTCCTGTTGTTTTTTGTGCCTGCCCAGATTTTCCTAGCCTTCCATGTCCCTTCAAAACGCCCCAGATGAATCTGTTCGTTTCATGAATCTTAGCAAATTTACATACCGGTCGGTGTTTTTCTATTGTTTTTTTATTATTTTATTTTGAGTGGAAATATTTGCAAAAAAATAAAAATATTTGATTTTTGTATTTTCATATCTAAATATTACAAAAAAAAATCTATAAAAGGCTACTTAAAATTACATAACGGAATCACTCAAAACTTTTTAGTTTTAATTTTTTAAGCGCGTTAATTTTGACTTTTCAAATTTTATATTTTTAAATTTTTGATTTTTTAACATTTCAGTTTTCAAAAACTATTTTATTCGCTCTGGGACATTATTTGGATAGCAGAAACGCAAAAACACCAAAAAACCAAAAAAAAACTACACGAAAAACCGGGAAAATTGCAAAAAATGACGGGGGCTACTGTAGCGACTAGCTAGGGTTATCCGATTACGCTAGTTAAATTACCAAAAAAATCACAGCTTTGGGATTATGGCATGAAAATGAGGTGGGGGAAGAAATAGGGTACAGTACGTAATTTTAATCGATTACGTCATAGAATTACAAATCGATTCCGGGACGCGACGTTACTATTAACTACGGTGGGCAATGAATTACGCTATGCAAATGCAAAGAGACGAGGATAAATAAAGAAAATCACATTTTGCTGTAGGGTACGGTATCTGGGTAAATTTGTTTCCTAGCTAATCAATTACGCTATTAAATCCACATGCCCGGAACCGATGACACCACGAAAAGCCAGTCTGGCAGCCAGCTAATCGATTACGCGAGTAGAATCTTACTTTGCAGCCAGAAAATCGATTACGGTATGGAAACTGCGAAATTCGAAGCCAAAAATCCTCTTAACGAATCGATTACACTATGAAAGTCCTAGCTGGCGGTCAGTTAAGCAGGGGTCAATCGATAGAGGTGGATCGTTGCGTACTGGTGGGCGTTTTGGCCGACTTGAAAAGATGTGAATGGCTGGGGAAACATTCAAGGGCTACGCGACGCCACTCTGAACGGATCGCATCGTTCGCTGGGTCACGGTTTTCAGTCCTAAAAATTCTGATGAAAATTGCTTTTCTAGATGGTTGGAGCGTGATAGAGTGAGAGAGAGGGCAGGGAGAGAGAGAAGAGAGAGAAAGAGAGAGAGAGCGAGAGCCAAGGAGAGAAACACCTACCGTAAATCCACCGGTTCGATAGCTTTCTCATCCGGATGCGCGCTTTTCACGTGATCCAGATACATGCTTTTCTAAAAAATAATGCTTTTTTATGGGAAAAAATAAATCCTAAATGGTCTCCGCTAGCCTGCCTGGATGTCGGTAATTTCCTTACGTAGTGTGTGTTTTACAAGGATGTGGTAATTTTCTAGCCTTTTTTTACTTCCATGGTCCTTTAAGGTCAGTTTTACTCGAGAAAGCTTCCCAGATGGTCTCTGCTGGCCTCCCCTTCTACCAGAATTTATATGACGTATTTGATTGCGAAAAACGTACCTTAAAAAATTGCGACCCACAATGAGGACATCCAAATCTCTTGACCGGATAGTGAGAAATGGCATGAGAAATCAGAGAACCTGAAGTCGTGCTCAACAGCCGAGAACATTGCTGGAAAAGTGCGATAAATGAGGCGGCTTCCATGGTCCTTTAAAAAAACCGAAAAAAATTACGCATGAGCTGGCTGTTCGGAATTTCATACCATAATCCATTAACAAAAGTCTCTCTGGCTTCAATGGCCCTTGAAAATGATCTGAAGTGTCGACTTTTCCTGTTTTTCCGGGTATAATACGCACTACATATTATAAAATAACACCGCGTAATGGTTCGCAAAAAAAGTATCGAAAATTTTATTTTGCAGTTTTAGGATACCGTATTCTGATAAACACTCACATGACATCTAGCATATCCATTGGATGTAGCATTACTGTGTCTAGCTGTTGTCCTCATATTCGCCAGGGAATTCTTATGAAGGCTGAGAACTGATTTCACGATCTCTTCGACGGTCGAAGTGGAGGCCATTCCGTCGAGTTCCACTGAAAAAAGTCACGGTTATTCGAACGACAAGAATGAAAATCAACATGTCACGCTCCCTTTAAAATGTAAAAAGGACCAGAGACTGGAGAGAGTTCGAGAAAAAAGAGAGAGGGGAGAGAGCGAGAGAGCGAGAGAGCGAGACAAAGAGTGAGAGCGAGCGAGCGAGAGGGAGACATAGAGAGAGGTAGAGAGAGAGCGCGAGAGATAGAGAGACCGAGAGAGAGCGAGAGATATGGAGACCGAGAGAGAGAGGTAGAGAGGGAGAGAGAGAGAAAGAGAGCGAGAGATAGGGAGAGAGAGATACAGAGAAAGCGCCAAGATCGAGGATAACCATACACGCCATGTAATTCCGCTAAAAACTAACGCGAACTGTGTGCGGGTGTTGTAAGCGCAGTAGTTGTCGTGGTTGGTGTCTCCATTGGTGTACTTTGCAGGCCAGTTGTCTGGCTCAACGCTTGTACCAATGCTTCCGGCAGCGTTTGAGGGCGCTGTGGGGTGGGTGGGCTTCGAAGGATATCCGCTTTTTGTTCCACCGGAGAGGTCGTTTCTAAGAAATGAAATTTAATCGATGGGCTCTGGTAACAAAATTTTACAAATTTGTAAATTTATTAATTGATTCTAATTTTAAATTTAACGCTAAAAAGTAATTTTACAACAATTTTGAAAAACTTTGGATTCTTCCCTTCAAAGGCCCTTTAAAATGCATTTTTTTCGGATTCCTGAGAATTTTTTACCAAGAAGTTCCGCATTTCAAAAGAAAATTTATATAATTAAAACATTTTGAAGAAACCGGGCTTTGCGAAATTTTGTTTTTTTTTGCCTTCAAGGGTCCTTTAAAAACAGTGATTTGTAATAATTAATTTATTTAGTGTCAACCGTTAAGCCATTGCAAAATAAAAATAATTTTTTATACCGCTACGGTGCTTAAGGTTACGGTAGAAAACGTACCCTCGCTTCCCCAAGTCTCATTATTCCCTCCTCCAGTACTTGAATTCGATAGTCTCGTCGGAGGTGTCAATAGGGGTGTCCCGTTCTGTGGTGTATCTCGTAGTGGGGGTACTGTGGATGAGGAAGAGGCTGTCGGTGTACTGTAGCGAATCGAATCTTGCCATCCCTCTGCTCGCTCCGAGAATTTCACATCCGCGAACCCAAATTGACACTGAAAACCCGTTTTTATACGAATTTCTTGACCTAATTTTGCAATTTTATCGCGTAACCAATTAACTGACAATCAAGCCAGCAGAAATCATTTGTGGAATTTTTTGAAATGGTTTTAGAAAGCAAGAAAATCCATTGGCCAGGCACACGGATCTGAAGTCTAATCGATTTCGTTAGCAATTCCAGAAATGTTTCGTCTAACCGATTACGACGTTAAAAACCCTTGCATTCCAGGTCTCTTTAAGGTCTAGGTTTTGTTTTCCTAACGTGTATTTGCTAGTTGCCTGGCAAGTTAACCGATTACGCACTGAAAAGCTAGAATCACGCCGCTTTAAAACGGTTGATAACCGTGAAAAACAAGAGTTTACGCTATTTTGCCTGACAGTTTAACCGATTACGCTGGTAAAATCTACAACTGCGTCGACTTGACAACCCCTTTAAAATCAAAATTGCAAAACTTAGAAAAACGCTACGCTACATTACGCTAGTTTGCGGTGCAGTCTAACCGATTACGATATGAAAAAATGTATTTACGGAATTATGGAATACTTACCAATAATGCATACAATGAGGGTACATTACACCCCTTCGGCAGCCGAATTATGGCGAAATTTGGTTGAATAGGATTATGAGAGAGGGCCAATGCTTGTGAGAGGGCTATCACATCCATCAGGGTAGAAGGATCTGAAAATGTATTATTTTCGATTTTTAAATGCACAATTCAGTCACGAAGATATTAAATTACGACGCACAATAAAATGCCGATTTTCGAAGGCGTCCAAGAATAAAATTGGTGGGCAAACTAGCAGGGGTGCTTAGGGAAGTCAAGCCGTGGCCTGCTAACAGAGATTCCTGAGGAGGAAAGAATCTTCTCAGGCATTCATTGAAAAACCAAGCCTTGGCAGCTAGCAGCGAATTTTGGGAATTTTTAGACCACCCACCAATCGCGGTTTTTCGATGCGCTGCGGTGTCAAAATCGTTGGGGGAAGCTAGCAGAGATTCGAAGGGATTACGCCATAAAAACGCTTTTCAAGATCACGAGCTTTTTTAAAGGTGCGGGGACGGTAAAATTGGGTGAGCAGCCCAAACTCTGGGTATTATTACATGAAAATCGGCGCATTCCATGTATCGAAAAATCGGTTATTTTTACATTTTTAAGGTCTAAGAGTGACGAGGGAGCAGCGAAAAAGAAATTATATATAGAAAATATAGTAAACAATTTGGAAAATTGCTAAAAATCGGTGGCCGATTCGTCATCCCCATTCCTGTGCCCTCAAAAGTTCAAACAATTCGCCAAATTGCGGCGAGTCATTCTCCAGATTCACGAGTTTATTTTAGCCATTTTCACACAGAAAACAACAATATAAATCCGTAAAATCTCCAAAATTCTCTGCTAGCTTGCCTTCAGCTAAAAAATGTCTAATTCCTCAAGAATCCCCGCTCGCCCACCCGTTATACTTTCTGATTGACAAAAAGTCATTCAAGGATCATTAGTCACCCCAAGGACTACGCAACGCTCCAAATTACGCGCAAACTAAGTGCGAATTTTCGTGTTCTCGTGGGCTAATTAGCCACCGGGGATTTGGAAGAGAGAGGGGGAGAGAGGGGGAGAGAGAGAGAGAGAGAGAGAGAGAGAGATTAGCTCAAGACATGACACATTGAGCCCGAAATCCCAACTGAATGTACCAGTGCCAGAAGTCCATAATTCTAGGCGAAGGGACCATACTAGAGACGTCTGACCAAAGCCATCTCGTAGCTCAAGCTGCGGGAAAGCTATCAGAAAGTATTTGGGAAAAGAATATCATTTTCAAACCAGCTTAGTCCTTTTTATAGCCAAGTGCAAGCCAGCAGAAATCTTTTGGGAATTTTGTGAATTTTTCGGCGGATTTTCGAGCACCTTTAGAATGATATTTTTGACAGAAAGTGCTTCGACTTGTAAATTGACTACCAGTTTAAAGGTTCGTCTAGGCAAACCAGCAGTGTTTATTTGGGAAAGCGGAGAATTTTGAAAAAGAGCCAAAAAATTAGACTGAATGGCAGTTTGCAGGATAAGCGTGGCAATCGAGCAGAGACCTTTTAGCAAAAGTCATAATTTGTTTGAAATAATCAATAAAAAGGTGGTTGTGTGTGTGCGGGAGATGAATGGCTGTCTGTCTGTCTGTGTGTCTGTCTGTGTGTCCGTTTGGAAGGGGGCATGCTGGCGCCTCGGAAAAGGGGAGCGAATGACTCATCTCTGCAGCCTGGACTGCCGAGAGAATGGGCTAGAGTGGAGAGGGCAGAGAAAACGAGAAAAATGATGATTTTCGAAAAAATTGGACACAAAACCAGCCCAGGACCACTTGGATTGTTCAAAAACTCGATATTTTCGCTAACTGGCCGCCGGATTACCGTATTACACGATGGTTACGGTAGCTGGAAGACAGAACGCCTTTTTATGTTCTTAACTGACACCCAAGCTACCGCATCCCAAAAAAATCAGCGTGAGACAAGCTTATTTTCATGGATTGGGTCGACAAAAATTCCGAAAATTACGCTCCAACGCGGGGGAAAGGCCGACTGACTCATCGCTGCGATGGGGGAGTGGGAGTGGAGAGAGCGGGGAGAGGGAAGAGATACGGAGAGAAAAGGTAGATCCGTGAAAAAAAACGGGGCGGCCGGAAACGCTCTCGGGGGGGTAGTCAGGGAGGGGAGTAAGTAGCAATCTTTTCTCTCTCTCTCTCTCTCTCTCGCTCTCTCTTTCTCTCTCTCCATACTCATTACTCTTAGAATACGGTAGTTGTTGTAGTTTGTAGCCTGCCAGGTCGCAGCCCAAAAATGACGTAATTTTACGTAACGCATCGTAAATTACCTGGAAATAAATGCCAAAATCGTCCAAAACCGGAAACTAGTGTAGTTTGTTGTCTATATTTTCGTATTTCGCTTAACTGTTATCCAGGCTCCTGTATCTAGCAACGAAAAAAAGAGATTCCACCGCCTTCCGGGTACGGTATGCTTAAAGAGATGCAGCGGCGAGAGAGGCCGCCCAGGGGAGAGGCGCAGAGACATTTTCTTTCCCGCGCGTAACCGATTGGCTCATGCCGCCCCTATCCCTTTAAAAAATAGGAGGACGGCGCTTTTTTGTTTATGTTCGTTAATTGACATCTAAAACATCATATATAATGTATTTAGGTGTGGGATTACTGTGGTTTTGTATTGTTTTGCTTGGACTGTCGTCCAGGCTACCGTATCCGAAACTTTCCGACCTATTTAGCGCTCAAACAAAAATAAATTTCAAGCTCCAAGTTGCAGCAGAAAAGTGGGCGGGTCAGGTAAGAGAACGAGAGAAAAAAAAGAGACCGAGAGAGAGAGAGAGAGAGAGAGAGAGAGAGCAAGAGAGAGAGAGAGATAGAACCGCCTGAATACTTTGCGTGTGTGTCATCAGCCCGTCCCGACCACCCAAAAAATACCTCCACGCCCCTCTGGAAGGCAAGTGACAAATTGGCGGAGGATGAATTTCGAGGGAAAACGTTTGAAGTCTCGGTAAAATGGCAGGATACGGTAGATTGGGTGACAGTTGGCAAAATAAAACATCGAGTTTCGCGTTCCAAACGGAAACGGCAAGAAAACAAAATTTACTGTTTATGGCAGCTAGCTACCGTAATACCACTTCAAGGCTAAATTGACTTAATTTTAACATAAGAAAAATTATGACACCAAAATTGGAAGAAGAAAATTAAAAATATTTTGGGGTATATGGTATGCCGGTATGCTAATTAGAAAATCAGGAAAATTGAGAATTTAGCAAAAATATTGCTGGGCATTGAAAACGTAAAATCTTTGATTGTAAAAACGGTAGTAATGTTGACAGTTTAAAGGAGTAAAATGTCATGGAATCCGCGATACGCTAACAGGGGTCTCTAGTAGCCTTTGCCGTTTGCGAAAAAATTGTACAAAAATATTCATAAATTTTACAAAAAAAACATAAATTTTATGAAAATTTTTAGAACTTTCCGGAGTTTTTCAAATGTCGACAGAAAACTAGCGGAACTTCCTGCGTTTCCGGCCAATTTTGAGCCCCAGCTATCCATTATCTTGCGACATTCGTTGGGTCGAGGGCTGAGTCATTGTCGAGAGCGAAATAGAGAGATAACAAGCTGATTGGAAGGGGGAAAAGCCAAAAAAATTGCTGAAAAATTCAGGTGACAAATTAATGAGCGAGAAAAAGGTTCCTAACATTATTTTCCTCAAGAATCTCTACAGGCTGCGTGCAATGGGCTAGGCTAGCTTGCCTAGCTAGTTTTACAAAAATCTCAGGCTGACAAAACACATCAAAATATTTTTCTGCGTCTGGCCGGATCTGCCGGTTTTTCACAAGAATCCCTGCAAGCTGCGTGCGCAAACGCTCGCTGCTGGTTTCCCACCTGGTAATTCGCATTTTTCAGGTGCATTTAAAATGGGTGACGGCCATTTCGCCTAAATCCGTTTCGCCTAAACCCGTTTCGCCTAAACCCGTTTCGCCTAAAACCCGTTTCGCCTAAATCCCGTTTCGACTAAAACCCGTTTCGCCTAAAACCCGTTTCGCCTAAATCCCGTTTCGCCTAAAACCCGTTTTGCCTAAATCCCGTTTCGCCTAAATCCCGTTACGCCTAAAACCCGTTTTGCCTAAATCCCGTTTCGCCTAAAACCCGTTTTGCCTAAATCCCGTTTCGCCTAAAACCCGTTTTGCCTAAATCCCGTTTCGCCTAAATCCCGTTACGCCTAAAACCACTTTCGGCTAAAACCCCTTTCGGGTAAACTCTAAGGTTAGTCGGCAAAAACGACTTGCTTGGATGTAAGGAAAACATAGGACGGTTTATTCATTCAATGATTAATACAGAGGCTTGTAAATAATTTCGATAAGGGCTCGCGGGTTATTGTCGTCGTAAGCCTCACACATCGCGCGCTGTTCGTCAAAATCCCGGCTGATTTTGCGCTTCGGCATGTAGGCGATCTCATTCGCTTCGCGAATTTTGACCGCAACCTTCTTATGCAACGCATCCAGCCGCTCCAGAAAAGTGCCAAAAAGAAAACTTGATCAAAGTGCCAAAAACGTCTTTTAGGCGAAACGTCTTTTAGGCGAAACGTCTTTTAGGCGAAACGGGTTTTAGGAGAAACAGGCCTTAGGCGAAATGGGTTTTAGGCGAAACGGGATTTAGGCGAAACGGGTTTTAGGCGAAACGGGTTTTAGGCGAAACGGGATTTAGGCGAAACGGGTTTTAGGCGAAACGGGTTTAGGCGAAACGGGTTTAGGCGAAACGGATTTAGGCGAAGTGACCGGAATTCATTTAAAATCTCAAAAAATCTCTGCTAGCATGGCAAGCTACAATTTTGACAGCATTTAAAAAAAGTTTTTCGAAGAATCTCTGCTCGTTCGTTTCAAAAGGGTCCCTGATGGCTTGCCTAGGCTTTATAAAATTCGCTAAAAATCTCTGCTAGCTGGCCCGAAAATCCAACTTTCGCTGGTGGACCTGCTAGATTTGCAATTCCCAAAGAGTCTGCTGTTGCTTTTAGCTTCCGGAATTCGGCTTGCTGCTCCGCAAGGAATCACTGCTAGGTTGTCTTGTTTGCGCTGATTCCCAAATGGTCTCTGCTAGCGTGCCCAGCGATAGTTCCACCCACCTTGCCAATCCGCGATCGCCGTTGTCGAAAGATCCATCAACGAGTGTTTGAAGCTACCGTATCCTCCTCAGCATTTGGCGACGAAATGTCGGGTTCCGAAAGGCAGGAGAATTCCAGGCAGCTAGAGACGCAGAGTCGCCGAATACACGGTAAATTCGTGATAGCGCTTTGTTTTGCTTTGATTCCGGCTTTCTGACTTCCAAAGAGCCGCTGCTAGCTTGCCCGGCCTCCAGAAAGGCGAGATATCGCGCCGAGACGAGAGAGTATTAGGTAGATAGAGAAGAAAACTGTCCGAATAGCTCAAATATGCTAATTAGCGTCCACCCGTTTATCAATTCTTGCTAACTGGCTCCCAAAGAACCTCTGCTAGCCTGCCCGGGGCTGCTAAAAGCGTTTCTGCAGGATTGAGGACAAGGTATAGGTGAGGTGGGGGGTATGACTCACACGCGGCCACTTGTTTTGGCCCCCCTCTTTTCGGATTCTCCCCCCGTAAGCCACGCCCCTTTTTACCTCAGCTGGTGAGAGAGAGAGTGGGTGAGAATTAGAGAAATAGACGGCATAAAAGACAAATTGATTCGTGTTTTAGGGGGGCTGCAACCCGGGATGGGAGGGTGAGCCAATGATGAGTAAACGACGGCGCCGCGAGGGGGCTGAAAAACCCGAAAAACCCTGGAAAAGGTGGGAAACCGTGGGTTTTTGGTAAAAATAACTAGCTGAGGCTAAGAATTGCTAGTCTGTTAACAGATCAAAATGGTTTCTAGCTCTTAAAGAGACTGGACAGGCTGACAGTCTCGCGTGAAAATCGCTAAAGGTACCGAAAAATCTAGCTTCATTTGAAAAATCACTAGAAAAACCCATTCCACGTTTGTCAGTTAAGATACTAATCAGTAAAAAATTGTTTTTAATAGACTGGGAGGCAAAATCCGGTTAATTCTCAGCCTTGGCAACTAGCCACTTTTACGGTGGATTCGTGGCTGTGGATTCATTTTTCAGAAGAGAACGGTATACACGTTTTTTCAGCAATTGCGCAGTGACGCCGGTTTGCCGTTGCTGCGTCTAGGCCGCTTTAAAGGCGCTCGAAAGTTAGAAGCCATCCGTCCCATTCGACCGATTACGCTAGCCAATTATGTGGCATAGGATTGTTGCAGAAAAACAAGAATAATGCATCAATATGCCTTTCATTAATCCTCGCAATATGAACCGGGACCGCAAAAAGAGCTGCCTCTTGCGGTCCGTGAAAGTTTTTAAAATTTAGTTTAGAGAAATTTTTACGATTTAGCTATCTGTCGAAAGCTCGTCATAAGACAAGACAACAAGCGCTTTTTGTCTTCCATATTCGGAATTTTGGCTTTGATTTTGATCGCTTAGAACCGTAAAAAATCGGCTTTATTCGAAATCCGCATTTTAATTTTCTGTTCCCCGGCCAAAAAATTCTTGGGTTTCCTCGAAAACGGCGAACATGGAGCGAATCATAAAGGATTCTAAAAACTGGACGCGCTTGTTTTCTCGCCTTTTTAAAGGCCTTAAAATGGTAGAAAAATCATTCTGATCCGAGCCCTCTCCAGAGCACTAGAAGTGGGTACTTTTTTAGAACACCGTATTATATTACTGGCAATGCGTTCAAAATTCGAATACGGCTATCGCTGCTCGGAAAACAGTTGTTGTGCTTATTTGCCTGTACAAATTCACCACCAGTGTCAATATAGCTTGAAATGTATTGTAAAAGTGTTGTATACTATGTATTCCGCGACACTCTGTTCCGTCTCTCTCTTCCGCCCGTCTCTTTTTGGGTACGTAAACAATTCGCAGCGGGCTGTTGGAAAGCGAGTGATTCATTCCCTCCTTCCCTCCCTTCATTCCTCTTTTTCCCTTCCGATACTATGGCAACCTATCCAAAAACCCGCAAAAAAAATCGGGGACCGGAATTAGCTGAGGATTTTTCCGGGGGGTATGGAATTTTTGAGGGGACCGTATTGGGGTGGAATCGAAAATTTGGGTCTAATAGAAATTGGATGGCGGTATTTAGGAGAAGCGCACGCGAAGACTATGGATCTCGACTAGAGGTGCGCTCACAGTAAAGTGTTTTTACTCAAGCTGGAACTTTGAAATGAAACCTAGCCTACCTTCTGCAGAATTTTGCGCTGATTCCGAATATCTGGGAGGGAGGCGTTGGATAACAGAAAAATATGGGTTTCAGATGAGGTATCTATAATTTTTCTGGCCGTCCTGACATTCAAACCGGTTCTGAAAAGCCAAGGGTCAATTATCTGTTTATTGATTACCCTCCGAAGCAGAGAATGACGTTATATCAATTAGAAGTAACACTAGTCCATAAATGTATTGCAAAAAAATAGGATCATATTTTAGTAGTACTTCTCATTCAGATTCGGATTCAAATTCTGGGTCGTCTGAGTCTGATTCTGTTTCATAGACTATGCCACTTGTTAATGCCTCCCATTCTTCCGATTTAGTCGTCCTAAAGCGAAATGTTGAGACAAAGGCTAGCCAAACTCACATGATTTCATCCCAAAAAGCGTTGATCAACGGCTGCATCACCTTGGGATCGACGGCACCTTCAAATTAGGTTGATTGGTCGACGAATGAGGGCTTACCATCGTGAGAAAGAATACTGCACTTGTTGTAATAATCTCGGATGGCGCCGAGCATCGGGGTTATGTCGGCGAGCGTCAGACCTATGAATCGCAGACACTTCACCTTCTTATAAGAATAGTCGAGCAGTTCCAAATTCTTGGTGATGACCATAAAAGTCAGCAACCATTCACCATATTGGAATAGTAGAACATTAGAACAGTCCTCTCTTTCCAACAACGCGAAAAGGAACTTTGATTGTCTTGGTTTGACCTCGATTTCTGTGAGCAAGGCTTCGACCAAGTCTCGTCGCCAAATGGGCGCTCGAACCTGCCATTGGAAAATGTATTGCAGGGCGCGGGTTATTAACGTATACTCTTCAATATAGTCGATTTGAGCCGTTGTTGCACATTGAGGTACCTTCACACGGAACTCAGGATCCACCGTTTTTGGAAAACCACCCCCTTCTACAATGCCGCATTCATGTATAGAGCATTGATGACTCGGAGGGGTGCCGTTGACAAAATGATATCCCGAAAATGGTTGTCCTGGAAATGCATCTATTTTATGCGTCAAATCGGAGCGAACCTTGATGTCATGAGGAAAATTAACTATTCTTGTGATTAGCCAATCACCATCAAGGCTCCTTAGTTTTTTTTCGTGAGGCTTCCGGGCTTCGATTAATGCCCGTCGAATCTGCTCATTATTCACTGGCTCTTTACGGTCAAGCGGCCAACTTTCACGAAATTCTGCATCCGGTTTGTATACGCGAGTTTCGGAACAATCTTTCCGTAGGTATGCTCCAACACCTTGCATTAGGAACCATGAATGTCGTGAGCCCTTAAGGCTCCGCATATCGTAGCTTGCTCTTACTGTAAATAGTTTCCCCAATTCTTCAATGTGATAGACAGCTTCATTGAGTAGTCTTAAGATATCCCATTGAGCAAGTGTGCCACGATCCACTTCAGAGAGTACCCAAACCCCAAAAGAATGCGCCTCGCTTTGATGCCACACGTCTCTCTTAACCAACATCATGTATGTATCAAGGATGTCCGCTATCGGCTCTGGCACTTTTTTGTCCCGGATTTTCGGCAACGAACGCAGTTTTTCAGGGCCGAGTAGTTTAGGTGCTTCTACTTTCCAAAATATATCCATTTGTTCTGCGCATTTATATTGATCCTCAGTCGGAAGCTCCGATAACTTGATGAGAATTCTGTCGCACAGCTCCCTCCTGTTCTTTTTGCAGTTTGCATGGTCATTGCCTTTACATTCTTTGCTCTCCAAAATGGTGCAGATCAATTCTTCGTCACGAAGAACACGTTCATCGAATGCGGTAGGTGTCCCCAACTGTTCTTTCAATTCGATAAGTAGTCGTTCGCTAGGGTTGGAATTTCCTTTCGATTGTTTCGTCGCGGAACTCCCGTCTGTACCACACGTCGAATAGGTAGCAGGCGGGACATTAAGCTCGGAAGAATGTTGCGAAACCCCGCTTCCCACGGAAATTAAACCAACCGGCGGCTCGAGCCTTTTGCCGAGCCGATCAGGATTTGGCTTGGCGTCAAACGCCCGAAACTCCTATGATTCCGTCATTATAATATTGGAATCCAGGGTCTACCTCTACCAATGTTCCGCATAGCACCAGTGCCTTTTCCACATTCAAACGTTCCTTAACATCTTGCTTAGTACATCTGTCATAATGCATGGCAGATATTGACGATAACTCGATAACCTACCCTACTATGAGCATGTTAAGTGTCGCCAAATGCGGTCTGTCCTTCAATATTTCGTCTATACCATTGTTTCCGATGCAACTTTTTCCCACGCTAAAAGGCATAAATTTCCGAGATAGCTGGTAAAATTTGCAATGAATATTTGTTAAAGGCCTCTGGAAAGATGGGATTGGTCAAAACGCAAGAAAGGGCGCACCGGGCGGGGGTCGAACCAGGGATGGTCCGCTGAGCAGTCCAACGCGCTACCCCCAGACCAAAGGGGGCGAGTGGGTTGGGGCGGCGGAGGGGCCCCAAATACCCTAGGGGTGCATTGGTGCGCTTTACTGGGCAACAATTGAAAATAAAGCTATCCATAAATAATAATAACAAAAAATGCTATAGAAAAGCTTGCTAAAGGAAAGCAAAGGATTCCCCATGTTCCCTGGAGTGTTTTATGCCCTTACTGACGATTTTTTCAACTAAAGTGTGTCCCAGAAACCTCTTTCCGCTCAGAACATGGCTGTCTTCTATCCAATCAGCCTCAAATTTTTGCCATCGATGGGGATGGCTAAAGACTATTTCTATGGAAGTTTCGGGCCAAAAATATCGTCAATCAAAAAAGTTATAGCTATAAATCTGTTTTCTTGAAACCCAGACGGGGTTTTGGGGGCTCTTACGCGATGGAAAGCGTGCATGGTATCGCCCCGTCGGCCCCTCACCCCTGGGGACGCCCGGCCATCTTTCCAAGGGTCTTTAACTGCCGGTACTGTCTGGCCCTGCGTGACGGTCCTACCTCCTGCTAACAATATCCAATACAACCCATCCAGCGCTATAAATATCACATTTATAGACGTCCTAAATTGGCTCGGTCACAAAAACGTTGCGCAATCACCTCGCCATCCATTTTTCGGCCGCCAAAAACCTCCGGCGCCATATAGCCACGCGTCCCTCCTCCGCCATATGCCGTAGTTTTCATATTTCGAACAGATCCAAAATCGCCCAATTTCAGCGTGTAATCATGGCCATAGACAAATATACTGTACAGAGTTGTTAATTCTTTGAATCAGATGATCGAATCACTTATCCGGCTTGACATCATGGTGAACCAGTTCCTTGCTTTTGATATATGCGAGAGCGCTGAACAGCTCTGTCGACCATCGGGCGATCGTCGCCATAGAATAGACAATGTTTCGGTTTCTCAGTACTAAATATGTGGGGGCTATATTATGAAATGAAAAAGCTACCATCTTTTAGCGATCCATGCTCGCAGTATTCCATAAAAATCAGTCGTTCGCACGAATCGTTTTCTGAATAATTGTGCGGCTGATCATAGTATCTGACGACATTCTCATGCGACAGTTCCTAAATCAGGCTTTTAATTGGGTCCTAAGCGTACTACTTGCTACTTACTTGTAACTTTGACTAGGGGAGCCCGAATAAACCCGGATTGAGAGTCGAAAATTTACACAGAGCTAGAATCGTTTTTCGAATCTGTTACTGATCTCTAAAACCAGAGATATGTCGCTCTTAAAGGGATAGCGCAAGCCGAAATTCATGTGTTACGTGGATTCCTGGAACTTTGCCAGATTTGGCTGGTTTTGCGGTCCAAACAGCCCTTATCAGCTAAGCAGCGCACTAATGAGAGGATGCGAGGCGCGCAGATGTTGTGACCGCTGTGATAGTCAGGCTGTTTGGGCGGGAAAGGGCCTGTTTGGAGTCGCGATTGCGCGACATAGGCGAAATTCCAGGCTCTCTGCCCTATTGGCTAGTTGCCAATTAGTTGATGGCCCCCTCCTAAGGGGGGTTCGCCAAACCATGACAATGATTATTTCGATCTTCCCGGTCGAATTTGCAAAAATAAATATCGCCAACGCATTCAGAAAAATTTTCTCTTTCGCATGAGCCATTTAAAGGGCTGGAGGAAGATGGGCCGGCGTCCGTCGGGGTGACGGACCGCCGCGGCGCTCCCATCGACGCTTTCCCTCGCGTAAGCGCCCCCAAAACCCCCCTCTCGCGTTTGAAGAAACCAGTTTATTGGCTATAACTTTGTCATTTAGCAATGTTTTCAACTAAAAATTTCCATAAACGAAGGACTGAGTGATACCCATCGATGGTAAAAATTTGAGCCGGATTGGATAGAAGGCGGCCAAGTTCTGGGCTATAAGGGGTTTTGGGACGCTGTTTCGGTTGAAAAAGAGTCGCATCGATAGCAAAACACCCCTGGAAAGGTGGAAAGTACGTTGCTATCCTTTAGCTAGATTTTCTACACCATTTTTGGCTATTATCTCCTCGAAATTGCTTTATTTCTAATGGCAGTCCCAAAGCGGGCCAGATTCGCCCCCAAGGCATTTGGGGAGCCTCCACCGCCCCTCCCCACTCGACTCTTTGGTATAGTGGCTAGCGCATCAGACTGCGGGGCGGGCAACCCAGGTTCAACCCCCGTCCGGTGCAGCCTTCTTTGCTTTTTCACCCATGCGATCTTTCTGCAGCCCTTTAACTCAAAATTTCGAAAACTGGAAAAATCGATGCGTATGGACTTCGATTTTTGTATGGGGAAATAGTGAAAAACAGCCGACTTCAAACCAGGCCTGGGAATTTGGCGGGCCGGGCCGGGCCAGGGCCGAGATTTTCGGGATTTTAGGCTGGCGGGCCGGCCCGCCACCTTGCCAATAAGTCATATTGAGTTTAAATTAGGTAATTTAATTACATTATAAGTTTTCTTTATTGATATTCAAGTTAAATCATCTGTTTAAACAGTTAAAAGTAAAAAAATCCGAGTTTTGGCTTAACTTTGATTTATCAGGAAAACGACCCGGGTTCGATCCCGGCCGAGGTCAATCTTTTGCTTTTTGCTTTTTTTGGCCGGAAGTGTTCAGAAATGCTGGGAATATGCCTTGTTAGCCTTATTTAAGCATATCAGAGTTCAAACTACACGTGGGCGTCGAAGAAATTGAACTCCACTAAGTAAAACAGACTTTTTTCTATTGAACTAAAGATGTACTGGCTGTATGCTGCATTAGATTAAATTCTCGTTACATACTGTACCTAAATCGGTTGTGCAAGCCTATAGACGATTAACGGACTTGATCTAACACGTTTTTGTGACTCCGGAAAAATTAAATGATGGCATATACTGGTTTGGTAAAAATGTACCCAAAATGTCGGGCCGGCCCGGGCCGGCCCGGGCCGCGGGCCGAAAAATTGGCTGCGGGCCGGCCCGGGCGGGGCCGGGCCGGGCCGAGAAAAATGGGCTGGCGGGCCGGCCCATTCCCAGGCCTGCTTCAAACAGCTGTAAGGCACCGTCTATTGGAATCCTGCCTTAATGGACTATACCATTCGAATCAGGAAAAATTTTCTATAGGTATGCCA